GGGGGGGAGGGGGTGGAAAGAAACTCCTTTACTCCTTCGATCTAAGATGAAATGCTGCATTTATAGTTAATGATACCATTATAAGTAAAGATAAAATAAAATTTTTAAAAGCTAGATTTATAGAAATGTTGGAGCAGGAGTCCTAAATCCAGTGGTCCAGTTATCAGCTGTAAAAAATAAAGTTGTTTGTAAATGTTCTGATTTAATTTTATTCTTTGCCTTTCCCCAGAATTGTGGCTGAAGCATCAATACCAGAAAATCTGTTTCTAGGACATTTCTCCTCTAGAATAGTGATGGGATGAGGTATTCAGCAGAAGGTCAAAATTGCATTTCCAATGCAGAGAAATGGTGGGCTCATTTGAACCTGATGAGATTCAACAAGGCCAAGTGCAATGGGTTGCACTAGGTAGGGGCAATCCCATATATTCATACAGACTGGGAGAACTCCTTGAGAGCAGCTCTGCAGAGAACTTGAGGTCCTGGTAGATGAAAAGCTGAACATGAGCCAGCAGTGTGCTTGTAGCCCAGAAGGCCAAAAGTATCATTAAGCTGCATCAAAAGAGGGGTGGCCAGCAGGGAGAGGAAGGGGATTGCCCCCTTCTGCTCTGCCCTCATGAAGCCCCATCTGCAGTACTGCACCCAGGCCTGGGCCCTCAAGCAGAAGAAAGACACAGAGCTCTTGGAAAGGGTCCAGAGGAGGGCCACAAATCAGATCAGAAGACTGGAGCACCTCTTCTATAAAGACATACTAAGGAAGTTGGTCTTGTTCAGCCTGGAGAAGAAAAAGCTCCAGGAAGACCTCACTGTGTCCTTCCAGTATCAAAAGGAGATTATAAACAGCAGGGAAAACAACTTTTTAGACAAGGGGCAATGGTTTTAAATTAAAAGAGGGGAGATTTAAGTTAGGTGTTAGGAGGAAATTCTTTTCTCAGAGGGTGGTGAGGCACAGCTGCCCAGAGATGTGGATGCCCCTCCTGGCAGGTGTTAAGGCCAGGTTGGATGGGACTCTGGGCAGCTGGTGCTTGATTTAGCAGTTTGCAACCTTATCCATGGCATTGGAGTTGGAACCTGATGATCTTTGAGTTCCCTTCCAACCTCTAAATCCAAATATAATTCTAAATACTGGCTCATGTTTAGCTCATTCTTGAGAGAGCTGTCTACACTTAAACATCCACCAAAATAGTGCATCAAATGCAAGAGGAAAAAATGTCGTAATACTAACTTGGTTTTGGTTTTTTTTTTGCTCTCACTCTACATGTTTTTGGAGTAGGGGCTGATGTGTGTTGTCTTTTTATTTTTTAATGGCCTCTTTGTTCAAAATACCGTATCGCCACATTTTAGGACTTCACTTGAATTTCTTAATTGGCATTCACATAAAAAATTTGTGATCGCTTATACGAAGGAAATTCTTGAGTTAAATTAAAATCGGGTTCAGGTTTTGATAACATCATGCACAGAATCTAAATATTACAGGGAAGCTTTACCTGTCCCCAGACAGAACAGTATTGTTTGCCACTTCACCCTCTCTTGGAAAATCCCTTCCACACAGTTTTTCTGCTTTGCATCTTTGCATGTAAAGGATAAAACATTGGAGAAAAGTGTATTGCATTGGCTAAAACCCGGCATTAAGAAGTTGGACTTCGGCTTCTTCAGAGTCAATCCTAAAGCTTCAAACAGAATCAACAGGCAGTCATCCTCTGCTGTAGAGTGAGAAAACATTTCTCCCCATTTTGCAGGCAGAGGAAAGCTGGCACAAGAATGCCACGTGGGGTGACTGCTGGGTGACTCAATCTGGTGCCTTTATACTGGGGCTACTTATCATACACTGTTTTTCTTCTCTTTTGTCCTATGGGCTGTGCGTTCAGGCAGTGGCCGTTACAGGAAGCGGCGTTGTGTTAGCTCTATTCCCACCAGCTGACGAAGATGTAAGAATTTCATTAGCGTGGTAACTGCTCTCATTCTGGCTGATATCCCATGAAAATGTAGTTTGCAAATACCTTCCAGGGCTGCCGTGGTGGCCCAGATATAGCCGTGTCAGAGACCCCAATTCATTTCACAGCCTTTCAGTCCTCCAGGTGCCACGTTTGCTAAGTAGGCTCCCACAGGTTTCTCCACATCAAGCAGAAGGGCAGCTGGGCAAAGAGCTTAGTCAGTCCTTCAGCAAGTTGGACGTTTGCTGGACATTCATCAAGAAATGCTTCCAACGCAGTGCTTCCTAAGGGTACTTTAATTAGCACAAGGGCTTGCCACCTTTTCTATGCCAGGAAGTTATCTCACAGCAGCAAATAGATCTTTCTTTTTCCTTGCTTGAGCTGTGAGTCTCTTATGCAACATAACTGCAGAACAAAGAACTGCCTCGTGTGAGTTATGGATTAAAACGTTCGTGCACTCAACTTTATTTAGAGGAAACAAAGTTCAATTCTTGAAAGCCTGAGTATTCACAAAATCATCCGAACATCCCATTTCCCAGACAAAGATACAGTCATGCCTTGTGACTTCTGCGTCCACTCAGAGTGCCCTGACTAGCTGCCACGGAGCACTTGGCTCCTCCTGGATAAACAACAGACTACAAATACATCAGAAAAATAGGCAAATAATGTGTAATAATAAATATACTTGAGACAATTGCACTGTGTTGGCTGACAGTTCATTAGAAAAGAAGAGTTGAAATTGATCAAATGAATTGTTTGTTACTAATTATTTGCCTAATACTAGCTGTGATGTGAGACCTTGAGGGGGAGAATAAATTATCTTAATGAGGGATTAGGTTAAGGCATGTTATAAATTCTCATTTCAAGAGCTAACCCCACCATTAATGCATTTGCCCATAACTGTGAATCTTCTCTAATAGCTGCCTGTCTCCTTTTGCATTTTGTACCTCACTTCTAAACCCATGTTCTGGATAGCAAGCATGTGGCCTCCAGAGTCTACCTTTGTTAGAAATGAAACTAACATGTAGGTTGTAAAGTGTATTTTATTATGGACAAATAAATGTTCACATTATATGGACAGAAGGAGTTCCAGATACCTTTTCGTGTGGGCTGACCACATACCTGCTCAGTTTTTGAAAACCACATTTAGGTACTGCACCTGACTTTAGAGAGGTGGTTTTCCAAGTGAAATTTAATGGAGAAATGGGGATAAACTGCCTCATACAGGTTGGAGGAGAAAGAGGAACATGGATGCATGCACTGTTTTGCTTGTAGTAGAGTTCCATCTTATGATCAGAAAGCTGCACAAGCACATGAAGGTAATGTTAGCCTCAGACAATCCAAGCAGTAAGCATTTAAAACCTGATCTTCAACTGAGGTTCTGTAGCCACATTACTATCACATTTAATTACTATAACCGCTCTTAATAATTCATAGCAAAATGAGAGAAAGGTAGATCACAGGCCAATTGAGGTAGGAACCATTCCTCTTTATGCATTTTATCTATGCTCCCTCTCAGGCATTGCTTCCTCCAAAGATCAGCAACGCTAGTTATTGTGTAAACTGAGAGAGAAGAAGTGGGAGGACGTGTCGGGAGTTCTTGCCTTTCTGTGAACTTCAGTTGGTCTAGAATTTATTTAATCAAAGGTCCTCTGTATTTTTAAGACCTGATATAATGCTTCAGTTTGCCAAGACCCTTATAGCGTTTTACAAACGGTCCTTTACTTACCTTCTGTTTATTTTGGCAGATGCATGTGGCTGTTTTTTCCCAGTTACCCGTCTCCTCCTTTCCTCAGCACTTGCTGGGTGATCAGCAGTGCTCTGGGAGCACCCAGGCCATGGAAGGCTGCTGATGCAAACAGCCAGAGCCTCCTGGAAATGCTGTGCCTTTCACTGTAAACAAAGCAAGGCTGTCTGTGTTTCCAGAGAGACCCGTTTCAGGGCACTCTGCAGCCCCTCACTATTGAAATTCAGAGCAAAAATGAACTTCCCAGCATTCATTATCCTATTCAGTATCAATTCAGAGGCAGCACTTGAGTGTTTTTGTTTGTACGCAAAGATTCATCACATTTAGAGGTCAGCTACCTTGTCAGCTCCACAAACTCATGCGCGTACACAGACACGGAGGGAAGGAAAAATGAGCTTCATGTACTCCATTCATGTCAGAACTCAACAACTTTAAGAGCACAAATATTCTGCAGTCACTCATGAAAAGAAATTTTTAATAATAAATATCTAACAATTAATGGGCTGGTAGCTGCAGTTGTCTTCAGGGCATAATATCTAATTTCCTTGCAATGTTTCATATCCTTACTTTTCACGCTGCAACAGTCTATCATTAAAACCGAATGCAGGTTTCTATCACTTTTATTTATTTTTCAAATCAACTTATAAATCAGTGCCAGGCCTTGTTACAGATGAGTTCCAATAAATTATCGGCTGCGGACAAATCCTGAATGTTAAACATCCTCCGCTTCTTCTCTCTTCCACTGCCTGTGCTCCAGTGTCGCGTTCTGAGCCTGGAGCACATGGCAGGTGGGGATTTTGCAGGATGTTAAAATAGATGAAAACCTGGCTACTTAATTAAGTGCTGTTTAGATCATGTATTTCAAAATGTATTTGGTTTTCAGGGAAAAGGAAGAAAAAAAAAACAAACAAAAAACACACATTAAAACCTAAGGACAGTTTCACAACACAGCTAACATCTCTGAACTTCAGTAAGAAAGATATCAGCACTTTTACTTCTACCTGACAGGTAATTCCCAGAGCTGCTTTGAACCCTAACCTAAGTCATGTTAATCCCAAAATGCCATTGCTGCCCTTTGGAAACAGGCCGTAAGTGCTTTTGTGACCTAATGCTAGCTTTTCCTTAACTGATCTACCACTTCTACATTGGATTACTGAAATTAGGATGACAATGCACTGGCACAGGCTGCCCAGAGAGGTTCTGGATTCCCCATCCTTGGAGGTGGTCAAGGCCATGTTGGATGGGCTCCTGGGCAGCCTGAGCTGGTGCCTGATTTAGTGGTTGGCAATCCTGTTGGCAGCAC